CATCAGACATTAATATGTTAAACAGAGAATGCCTTCAAAAATAAAAATTAAGCAAACAAATGAATAATTAAGTTTGAAACATTTTAATACATTTAATATTTTATTTAATTTTTCCACTGATCAGTTAATCGATATAATGTTAATAATAAATATGCCAATTTTCAATAAATGCATGGAAGAAGTTAAAAAATTAAAACTACTTAGGAATTTAAAGTAGTTTTTTAAAAGAATTCATCAATTCATAAGTGATTTTTCAGTATTTTTGTTCAAAAATTTAACATTAACATTTCAGTTTGTTAGATTTTTACCTATCTTCATCTTTGTTGTATCGTAATAATTGCTAAATATAATTAATCATTTTTAGATAAAATGTAAATTTTTATTTATAAATTCGATGAATTATGTCTATGACTTAATACTTTTTGTACACCTTAATATGTAGTTCAAACTTACAAAATGTAATTGATGCAATTTACACTCAAATATATCGAGTATATATTGAGGGATTCTGTAAAATATATTGCGTTGCAATAGAAACTATCATAATAAAAAATGTTAAAGCTGCAGACATATTCTATAACTAGATAACTAAATCATTTGCTTAAGATTCTTATTTTATAAATTTTGCATTAAGGTGATAAAATACTTTGAATATAAACTGTAAGAAATCAAATGTATATTTATTTGAATTGTGATAATATTCCAACTCTTAAATCAATCAAGGCATCAATACTGTTAAAAGTATTAAACTAACTCGTGAATTAAACTTCTAAAAAATGTCAGAAAAAACATTGAATAAAAACAAACGATTCAACTTGATATATAAAAAATATGCACACAAATATTTTTGCTTAGAAATTACTCAGATTAAAACATAAACTTAGGGTGTTTTATCTTGTCAATTTTTATCTCTTGTAAAGAAGAAAAAACTGTTTTCGTTATTTCCTATAAAAGTTATTTTAAGCATTCTCAATCATTTCTTTTCTTGTATTCTGGACAATAAATCACCTGACTTTTTTGTGAAATGTGTTGTTACCTCCTCCACTTTGTCAAGATGCATCTTCGCACCTTCTCGTTGTTAGATAGGTAAAATCTTTCTCCTTCCCCCCCCCCAACATCCAAAAAAAGAAACCGAAGAATAACGGGAATGTTTTGAGAGTCTATTTTTTTGGGTGGGTGCATGGAGGAAAAATGAGAGGATGACAACGTTGGAGTTCAAAGAAAAAACGTAGGGTGAAGAGATGCCTGAATTTCTGCGGTGCGAAGCAATTTGGTGAGGGGGGGAATATGTTGCCGGATGGAAGAATGGGAGGGGGGAGAATTTGCTTCACCTGCGCCACGCGCGGCGTAGATTTTGGCGGATTATTTCAGCCGCAGCATCTTTACGCGATATTGAGAAGATGCGGAGCAGATTGTTACGGAAGCAACCGACATCGTTGTGTCTGGAGTATGTTGGCATAGAATCGCTATTTTGGCGACATAAATTAAATGCCAGAATAGTAATGTGGACTTTTATAAAGTGTAAAAAGATTATTGATGATTTTGACCAATAGTAAAAAAAATAACAACTTAAATATAATATGGTAATAAAAGAAAGAAATACTTTTGACATCTGTCTGATAAATTTTGTTTGCTTGAAAAAGTATGAATGCATAAATACGTAATTTGTATAGCTTTGACCTAAAATATAGTTTTATGATTTTTAAAGCAATTAAATATTGATCTTAGAGGCAAAAGCGCAATTTATAGTCGTTCAGTACTTGGAGTTTTTTATTAAATTAACTTCATTAAATAGTAGATTGAAATTCATGATGTTTCAATAAGTTTTAAATAAAGAATTTCGCTTTTTTTACATTTTAAACAAGCCTTAAAATTTTCAACGCAAATTTATACTACAAGGGTATTTAAGTTATTATTTGGAATTTAAACTATTTAACTTATTACATTTATAATAGACTACCAACAGTTACTGTTTAGAATAATTTGCAAAAAAGAAAAAACAATGATAGAAAAAAATGATGATAGAAAAAATTAACATTGATATAAATCTATAATCTTTCATTGTGCATTGGAAATATAATATTTAATAACATCATTTGTAAAATAATGAGTTAAAAAGTTACTCATCGTAACTTTTGATTTTTCCCAGGATTTTAAGGCGAAAAGATAAAACTGAATGGAGTTTTATTCTTATATTCTAACGTTGAACGAACTGAGTTTTTAAAAAAAATGAATGAAAATGTTTAAAAACAAACTGCTGAAAAATTAAAAATATATCAAAAGAAGAATTTAATAGATTTGTATAAGAGTTAAAACTACCTAATTTTTTATTATTATTAAACCATAAAGTGGTATTGGTTTGTTTACTTAAAGTTAATTCAAAATACTTATTTAGTTAATTAGTTAATCAAATTTTTGATAATGATTTGAAAAAAAAGCAGATAACTATATTAACTCTTGAATATATCAATAAAATTATTAATTTGACACAGGAAAAGGAAGTATAAAAGTTTCTGGTCAATATTTTGTTTCTCTAAATGCATTATTTTACTTACAGAATTTCTATTGCGAATGTTTACTTACAAAATCATAAATTTTTTAATTGAAAAGTTGAACTGAATTCAATAATCAATATTTTTAGTCTTAATTATTGTTTAGATATCAGTTTGTGCGAAGCAACCATCCAAAATTTCAGCTTGAAAATATTTCATTCTTAATTTGTCTAAAATGCAATAAAAATTGTTACAATATTAGAGAAATTTAGAACGAAGACATGTTAAGCGTCATATTATAATATTTCTAACGCTTTGCTTTTAGTAATTTGACTTCAGGCTATTTTTTTTAACTGTGAGATTTAAAATGTTTTAGTAAGATTTAATTTAATAACAAAACATTAAGCATAAAACAGATCCACAAAAGCTTGGTAATATAAGATTATAAATTCGTACAGGTAGTCTAAGCTCAAATTAGATAATTAAATGCTTTATCTAAAAAATTAGAAAAAAACTTCGTGGAATGAATGATAGATTGATGCATTTAATAACATTCATGCATTTCAAGAACTCACTGCAGTTTTTTGTAAATGTGCTCTCCTCGGTAAAATTCACCACATAAAAAGTGCTAAAGAATTTTTAATTTGAGAGATATTGATCGAATCCACTCCTTATGTATTTTAAGGTATTCTAATACCTTAAAATAATATGGTTAAATTAATAGCAAAATTAAATACAAAATTTATCCAGAAAATAAATTATAACTCGATCTATCCAGTAAAAGAAATGGTGACTCGCAAAACATGATTTCTTTATTTATTTCAGTTGAATGAAAGTTATTTTAAACCTAATAGGAACCTTAAATTTCTAAACATAATTCTCTGCCAATCATTTAAATATGAATTACTGCTTTGGAATAATCTAAAAGATATAGTTCGAGATTGATTCTGTACGGTATCGACATTTTAATATCGTGATATATCATAATGACACATGGATTTTTGACTGTTCATCGTGATATTTTTTTACTTTAACTTGTTTATACTTTGTTTCAATATTTTCGTAACAAAATAAGAGGTTAATGTGCATTTTTACTATAATATCGTGTTCAATAATTATCGTTATCGATAATAATCATGATATTATTATATTCAATATTTACCGTTTCTAATGGTAATCATAGTATGGTCCAACTAATAAGCATTCATTTGGGTAATAATAACCACGTTATCGTGTTTGATATTTATAATTAGTGTCATCGTGTTCCTCGTTATTGATACGATATGATATTTATATTAATGTTATCGTGTATATCGTTATCCACGCTATCGTGTTTGATATTTATAATTCGTGTTTGATATTATAACATTAATTACGATGTTATCCTTATCGATAACTATTGCATAATCGATATCTATCCCGAAATATAATGTTCTCGATACATCATGAGAATAAATTTTAAAGTTTGGTCACCGAGATGTTTAAAATAATAGCATTTCACAACATTTTTGCCCAGCTCTATTTGGCATTATCCTGTGTAAAAGATAATAATAATATATTTCCTACATTGCATTCATTAGACTTTGGATTAACAATCGTTGTGCATCGATTATGGATTGACGATTGCAGATCATCGGTTCTTTATTCAAACCAACAGCAAAATCTTCCTTCCATGAAAGTGTAACACAAAGCAGCAGGGACAGTGTGTCCCGATAATGCGTTTTAAAGAAATAAATATCCGTACTTTGATATCTCATTTATCTGACGGATATTTTGATAAAATATTCGATAAAATTATTTCCATAAGCTATCTTATTCAATAGATCTTCAAAATTCGTAATCTTATCTATAGTTATTGCATTATTTTGATATCTATCCCAATATATGATGTTCTCGACATATCCTGCGAATAAATTTTAAAGTTTGGTTAATGAGATGTTTAAAATATCGACATCTTCTGCTCTCTCTCTCTATTTAACATTATCTCGTGCGAAAGACAATGATAATATATATTTTCTACATTACATTCGTTAGATTTTGGACTAACGATCACTCTGTTTTCTTTACCTGAACAACAACGAAATCTTTCTTCCAGATGTGCAGCGCCAAGTAGCATGGGCAGCGTGTCCCTATATTTGGCAACCCTATCTGTTGCACGTGTGCCAAAGGTTCCTCAGTCGCGTGCGAGACAGTGAAGTTACGAGTCCCCCCATCCGCTAGTCGGAGACTCATCCCGGCCGGAAGGTGTGCGGCGGGAAAAAGAACTTCACTTAAAATTTTCCTTACCCAGGATTATTCAAGCGCTTTACAGATACAAAAGATTTTCTTTTTTTGTGGAATGCAATGTCCGGGATTCAACAAAGCATGAGTTCTACTGGTCCCGGATAAATTGATAATTTCAGAGTGTGTGTTGACAGGTGAACCAGACGCTCAGGTGTGTTAAGGAGAAATTATTTTAATTGCTTCTTCGCTAACTTTTGGATTAGAATTTAAAATTTTTTTTTAAAATTTTTATATTAAATTAATATTTCGTTGGAACATTTATGGATAGAATTTTACATGTGAAATTAGGCTTAAGAATAGATTGCCGATATTGTTTGAACTAATTTGTGGCAATCAAAGTAGAAGTTTTTGTATTGAAAAAACCATAAAATATACCATTTATTAATATTCTCATTTTGAATTATACACAGTAAAAACGGAACGATTTTATTTGCATTGGATTGCTTCACGTTTCGCAATGAAAGCCATATTCTTGGAATAAATAGTTTATCTTGTTTATCGTTTTCTATCTTTTATCAAAATCCATGAAACTGGAACAGAAAATATAATAACGCAAACGATATTATTGTGGATTAAATTGAGCAACTAAAAAAACCTAATGTGGATTATTAAGTAAGACGATTTTTTTCTAAAGGAATAATGCACTAGTGATGTTGTTAAACATGGTTTGAACTATGAATATGATGTGATGTGTCTGTGTTTGTGTACTTGCACATAGCCTGTGTATGTGTAATGTGAGTGATTTGGAAATTTTATAAAAGAAAATGGCATGCCTGAGAAGAGGCGGAAAGAATGATGGATCGACTGAGAGTTTGGCTTTTAACACATCCAAAAGAAAATCGATCATACAGGTGAGAAAAGTATATAAAGTGCATGCTCATGCTTTTTAGAATGAGAAAAATATTTAATTTTCTGCCTACATACAGAAGAACTTTTTTCCTCTTTATTTTACAGCTCTTATTTTTAATGAATAGGATAGTTTATGCAGATTAATAGTCTTCATTTAAAATTAGCTTTAATTTCAAAATTTGCATCTGAGTTGCCAAATTTGCACTTTTCCATGCTGATTAGTTTATGTTGATAAGTGAACAAAAAAGAGCATGAAAATTCATTGAATGTTTTTTTTATAATATAATTTCTCTTTTATATTAAGGTTTTTAATTAAAGCAAATATAATTTATAAAAAGGAATATATCGATTGTTAAGAACTTAAATCTTAAAGAATAAATCCTATAAATTTTAAAATTAAATATATATACATTTTATATTTTGTATTTTGTAAGTAATATGTGCTTTTTGTATTTTGTAATAAAAACATAAAGTTATTTTTATATTAAAAAAATGAAAATGAATTTTCGGTCCAATTTAATTTGCTTAAAATATTGTAATTATAGAAAGTTGATTCCCTTTTATTCTAAATAACCCTTTATTAAACTTTTTAAATATATCTATTTAGCAACAATAATAAAAATATTTTTTGTGATCATTAAAATTAAATAAATTAGGTTATTTTAAAAATATTATAAACAGATACTTAATTTGAAATTTAATCTATAACTATTGCAAATTCACGAATTTATGAATGTATTTATTTTTAAATATTTTTCAACATATTTTACTTCAAAATAAATTATTTTATGAATAAACGTTCTGGTGCTACAAAATATTGAAATAGCAACCAATTCAAATGTTTAGTAAAAAATATTTAGTGTTTTTTTTAAAAGCAAAGGTTTAAAATGCAATTTATTACTGTAAAAAGAAAAAAAGTTTTGGTTCATCCTTTTTAAGTAATAAACCAAACAGTTTATATAATATATTTTAATTATTTTTAATATTATCAGTTATATAGTTATAGAAAATTAAGATTATTTATACGATTACTAATGTGTATTAGTATAAGTTATTACTAGTTTGTGATTATTTGCATTTTTAATTTAAACATGAAAAAATTATTTTAAAAAATTTGAACGTTTTAATAGAAAATTGTTTTGATTGTAAAATCTGTAACTTTTCTGTAATTCATGATCCAGGCAAATGCTTTATATACTCATAAGTTTTCCGTTTACTATTTGAATGGTAATGTATTTTTTTGAAGAATATAAACTTATGTAAAAATAACTACACTATATCGCATGAGTATGTAATATAAATATAGTTTTTGATATAAAAATGCAGAAGCAGGTTTCTGTAGTTGTGAGCAATGAGATAAACACGTTTAAAATAATTTCATTTGAAGATGCATTTTCCTATATATGATTATTTGCCTTTAGTAATTACTATTGAATTATTGAATTACAGTAATAATTACTGTACAAAATTAAAAATCACTTACTCATTTTATAATTTACACAATAAAACTTGAAATTGGAGCCAAAAATACAAGAATTTCCATCGCAAATTATTCCAGTAAATTACTGCATGCATTTATGACGAGCTTAAAAAATAACTACGAATCTTCGTTTTTTCCTGTTAAAAGTAATAAAAGTCTTCAAAAAAATATTTCTGAAAGTGAAACTCAATATTAATTTGTTTTAAACCTATTATCGCAACGCATAAAATAGTTGCTCACAAAGTTTCCCACTCTGAAAATCACTCGTATCTCTCTCTTTTGATTAAACGTATCTCCGGTTAATTATGAATAAAAAATCACTCCCTTGGGCCAGATCTTCTCGCACGAAGAGCAAATTGAGCTCAGCGAAATATGAATGTGAAATCATCTCTAGCATCCTCCCGAAGAGCATCTTCATCTTTGTCTTCCTCGAAATGATCCCAATCACAAACCCTTCCCCCCATCAAACTGTAACTCATTAAAACTGCATTACAAGGAAGCCATCGGTAGAGGAGAGAAGAGCATCTATTATGAAGGTTATACGGAAATGCCACAAGATAGGGAATCGTGGGAGCTGTAAAATTGAAGATTCAGTGCATAAATCTTTCGCCAAGTGGCTTGTCTCTGGTAATCAAGTCGGGCCACTGCCTTCATATACATCATAATCAGCACCTTTTGGCCCTAAGCGAAAGCCTGTTAATTCTATGAGTGCTGGACTTACATTTTACATCGCTGTTAATTTATTACCTATTTGATTTGTGTAATGATTTTAAACTCTTGATGTTGAGTACTGTTAATCTAACGACTTGATTAAGCCTTGGCTACTTATTAATTTAGAATGTATATGTAAGACTTGGGGTTCTATATTCATCCATTTGAGTTATATATTCATCCATTTACATACTCATGTTAGACAGAAAGTATGCCAAAAGCATGCATTTTGTCTTTAGGAAATATGACATTTTGTCACGCTTTTATAAATTGGGCTTTCCATAAATCTGTTAAATCGCTGTTAACATATTACTTACTTGATTTGTGTAATGATTTTCAGCTCCTGACGTAGAATACCGTGAATCCATTGACTTGATTAAGAGTTAGCTACTTAGTGATTTAGAATGTATGTGTAAGACTTTGCGTATATACTCATGTATTTAAGCTGCAGACACATGTCATACAGAAATTATGCCAAAAGATGCATTTTGTCATTTGAAAATATGCAATTTTACCGTGCTTTTATTAAACGGGCTCTTAAAAAATAATATTATCACTTTATGATAAGCGAAATAGCGATAATATACTTATCCCTTAGTGTTGGCTTCTTAGTGATAAAGAATGTATCTGTAAGACTTTGCGTATATACTCATGTATTTAAGCTACATGCACATGTCATACAGAAATTATGCCAAAAGATACATTTCGTCGTTTAAAAATATGGAATTTTGCCATGCTTTTATTAAATGGGCTCTTTACAAATGATATTATCACTTTATGATATGCGAAATGGCGATTATATACTTATCGCTTTATGATAAATATTGGAATCTACTTTTCCCATATCCAATATACAAAACGATATCACCGTAACTGCTCACCTATTGTTATATATTATTATAACCATTCAATACAATATTTTTATCGATGACTAATAAACATATTTTTATATCGTAATCAAAGTTAAAACACTTTTATTTTAATCTGAATGGAAATAGTTGCGCATTTTAACACTGTCGTTACTTCTTAATTATGATAATTATAGTTAATTATAAAGTTACTTTACAATTATTATAAAATTAATATTTTAGGCTTTTTAAAAAGCTTTTTAAAGCATGCGCATTTATCTAGTTGTGCGTAGTAATATTTTGAATACCAAGTTTAAGTTTTTTCCTTGTAAATACAGAAAAATAGTGTCTTACCGCTAATAAGATCTTACCTTATTAAATTATAAAGCAAACTTTTATAAATATAGATTAAAATAAATAAATTACCAATATGTAATTATTTTAAAATGAAGTTTTTTTACAAATTTAAAGTAATTTAATTGATAAATATATTGCTATTCATTGAGCTTTTTTCTTTATCTTGAAATCTTTATTCCATTGAATTGATTTTACTTCAATGGGGAAGAATCTTTAACAAAACTTAATCAAAAATTTCGAATTTTTGCAATATAATTTTGTACTATGCAAGGCTGTTGCAGTATAAAAAATAATTTAAATACATAGAGAAAGCAAAATAGCACGAAAATTCATGTAAAGTATATCTCGTTCATTTTAATATGCTATATTTAATTAGCAGTTAAAAGTATTTCTTACATGCCACGAAAGTTTATATCAAACTTTTGTGTTTTATCGTTGCATCAGCTATTAAGATAAGTAATAGTTATAAAGTTTTCCCCTTTAATCTTTTCTCCCATATTTGGACCCCTTAAATGGTGCTTTCTGTCATATTTTTAGTCGAAAGTCATAGGATTTATTGTCCTGAACTTTTCCTCAAGGGAACGATCAATATGATAAAAAAGATGGAAAATCGTGGGAAATATCTAGAATTGTCAACAATTTTGAGTTCTCTTGAGAATTCAAATTATTTTTAAAGGCATTCATTTAAAGTAAATGTTTATTTGATTTAAAATAAAACACATAATTTATGAAAAAAAAAGAAAAATTGTGCAAAAGATTAAAGAAAGTTGCTTATCCATTTTAAATATAATAATATGAACTGTATTTAAGCAACTTCATAAGGAAAAAACTCACTCATATTTTCAAACTTGTCAGGTCATGCTTCTTTGAAAATTAATAAAATAAAGCTTAAATAATGTTTATAAAATTAACTCAATTTAAAACGTCTATAAAATAATTTATAAAAACCGTATATTTTATCATTATTTTTACTTTGAATTTTTTTTATAGATGTAAAAATTTATCTGTTAAAACTTTTTAAAAGAAATTTACATAGCAAATTAATAATTTCATAAAGAAATAAATTTCAAGAAGCAGTTTGCATAATATTAAATATATTTTTTAAGTAACATTGAAAACAAAGTAACACGTAATTGCTTTTATTAAATCCCGATGTGTGTAATATTTTTAGACTCAAGTATGGACTACATAAATAATATCTTATAAAATGAATTTTATGATACTAATATTTTAATTTTTTTAATATTGTATACATCGTTTTAATACCTTGATATTATTGTATAAGATTAAAATAAATATGGAGTGCAATTAAATATCAAAATAATAATAATACAATTTTGACTAATATGTTTCAAGATAAAAGGAAAAAATTAAACATGCTACGACAATATCATTATAATATGTATTTTTATGTGAGTAAAGTGAAGCATGTACATTTCGTTATTTTAGTTAAACACGAATGAATTTATTAATAACATGTTTTGTAAATGATATAACAGTTCTTTTATTTTTTTAACATACAATGAACTTCTACTGTTTGATTCTAAGTAAAACTATTCTGAATAAAACTATTTAATAATAAATAAAATTTTTGAATAAAGCTATT